CAATATTAATTATCATTTATATATAATATATATATATACTATATATACGATTTAATATATTTATAATATACTGTGTGCTGCTATATGTACAAGAATTGTAAGACTCGATACAAGTGTATATAATTAAAAGCTGACTTCGTTTGTACTTGGGGCCGGGGCTCGATGGACCCTACATATTTATCTTCTATTTTTTTTTTTATTTCTCTCCACTTTTTAATCTTTACCCTCGAACTCCACATCGTCTCCGATCTCCACAATATATACTTTACATATGTACATTACAACGTTATTCCATCATCCACATTCGTGTATTTCATAATGGTATTAATAATTATGAACTCGTGCGTACAACCAACAAAGAGGTCCTTTCGTGTTTGGGGAAAAAAAAAAAAAAATCATCGACACCTTACTTTTGTGCACTTAACGTGGCCCTTTGCAGCCTCCCCCGCTCGCGTACACGGCTACGCTCATAGCCTCGTGGTTGAGCAAATGAATCAGCCTGTTTGGCAAAAACCTCGTTTTGTCTCGTTACTTACGCACGTATATGTATACATATATTTATTTTTTTGATCCTCCGTTATTCCTCCGTTTTGTCGGCGTATCCGTGTACGAAAAAAAAAAAAAAAGGAAAGGGGGGGCGGCAACGGCGGTTCACGGATTCGCGTCGCGCCGCGTGAACCAAACCATCAGGCTCCGGAGCCGTACGTCCTCTTTTTTTTTTTTTTTTCTTTTTTTTTAACTTTCTTTCTCTCTTTCTTCGTCCTCGGCTGCTTTAGTGCACGACACTGGTCGTTCATGTGTACTCGGACCGCCAGCCCGTCTGCAACAGAAAATCGAGCGACGTGCCCGTGTCAAAAAGAGGTGTCCCTTGTTATTATTATCATTATTATTATTATTATTGTTGTTGTACATTCAGCGGAGGACAAGCTTCCTTTTTAATCCTGCAAATTGGATTTTAATCCGCTCTCTCGCCCGCGTGGTATGCTGTTTGCCAAGGCCACGTTATATATTGTACACAATACATATATCATTTATTTGAGCCGAGCTGTATGATATATATATGGTGTCATACCAAAGACCGCGTCAATCCTGCGCTGAATTAATACTTGCTCCAAAGGACTATTTTTTTTTTTTTAATTTTTTTTATTTTTATACTTTTAAATGTACTAAAAAGAAAAAAGTAAACTCACCATGGCATTCGTCGTCGCGGCCAACTGAAGGCCCTGGAGGCTCGTCATGTGATGCGAGTGCGAGTGGGAATGCGAGTGCGGGTGGATCGGTGGTGGCGCCGGCGGGGCAAAGCCCTGATGAAGCGATCCGGTGACCCCGACCCCGACCCCCGTGTGGTACATGTAGTGCTGCATCGCCGGATGCATCGTGTGGTGGTGCTGCGACGCTCCTGTTGTAAACACATCGATAACCCCAGACCCGCGTGAGAACGGAAATTCATACAAACACGATGTAGGTATACATGTTGTTGTTGAATATATATAGAGCTGCGGGGGTGTATATATCTTTCATACGTGTAGGGCCAAAGCTACCCCAAAGTTTTTTTTTTTTTTTTTTTTTCAAAAAATTGTCACTTAATATCATGGCAAAACTACGCGGTCGTTGAGTCTATCAGATAAAAATAGTGCTGTAAACAAGGATTGAATGTTATGGGCTTCCAGGAAGGGGAGGTCACGGGAAAAATGTTAATTCGAAGGGGGATCGGCCCTGATGGTTATCGGATACGAAAATTTCGGAAATCAGAGCAGCTAGAGAACTATCGGAATACAACGCGACAAGGGTCTAGGCGCCGCTTCAGGCGCTTGGGATGCTGTCGGAGTTACAACACATATTATATCCACAGGTATAAGGGATACATCTTATATAGCAGTAGTTTTTGGGTTGCCTATTAGCTATGCAAAGGTAAAGGTATAGAGAGAGAGGGGGGGGGGGTATAATGTTACGCAATATGAGAGTGAAGAGGAAAAAAAAAAAAAAGGGCTCTCGAGGAGCGTATACATATATAGGCACTTACGATACTCGCCCATCGGTGAGCCGAAGCCCGAGTGGAAGGGCTTGTTGTCGATGTCCAAGTGCCCGCTGGCCTTGATCATGTCACTCATGACGCCGCCCAGGCCGATGCAGCTGCCGGCCTTTTTCTTTTTACTCTTGGACGAGAGCTTCCTGTTTCGCGTCTGGATGCCCTCCTTCTTCATGGTCAGCGGCCGGTTAACCTGCAACAATCGTAGACAACAGTTCGGTGAGAGACGGCGCTCGCCCTATGCCACACACACACACACCAACCGGGTACATCTACTTATACATGGCATTTTTTTTTTCTTCCTCGTGCCGCGAGAAAACACGTGTCAAAGCAACCCCCTCCCACTATCGAGGGCGAGGGAGCCAAAACTGACTCCAACCATTTCGCGGGTCCTCCACCAGCTACAACGGCGACTCGTGAGTATAAGTGGGGGGAGGACGGTAGCGGCGGTCGTGATTTATCGTCCGACCGATGCGCGCACGAGATACGTATAGTGTATACGCACTCGCGTCTGAGTGCCTTATCTGTTGGGCTGAAAGATCGAAACGGTCGAGCTGCACTGCGCCCTTTATCAGCCAACGCCATCGAGAGAGAGAGAGAGAGGACACATAATATACAAGTACCGCGGTACAGCCATATACGCGCGTATACATGTACGCATCGGCGTGTCGACGTTTTATAAATAAGTGCAAACGCGCTTATCGGCACGGAGCATCGGAGAGACGGAAGGGAGGGTTAACGTCCCGCGTGATCTATGTAGAGTACTTTCTGCTCTCGCATTCTTGAAAATCATCCCGCGCGCGTGCCGGCGTCGGTTCTCCAATTAACCCGGCCAATCGGCCCGAACGCCTCGTGTGCAACGCCTCCTCGTGTGTGTGTGCACTGCATATTGCACACAAAAGATGATGATAACAACAGCGATGTATACATGCGAATTGTGATCTGCTCGACTCAATTATTCGTATGATAAAATATCAACGCGTAATGTGCTTCACGCGTGTATACGTGCGGGTAAGGGAGGGGGGCAAAGAAAGGGGTCGTGCATATTTTTAGATCTACAATTATATACTTGCTTATGAAAGTTTTTTTTTTTTTTTTTCAAAACATTGGCGAATTGATGACTCGGTGTGTCTATAGTGTTAATGTTTTCCTGGAGGCAATAGGTATAGTATCGGTGAACAATGGCCCACTTTTTTGTTCATAGGTACATTGGATCGTTTGAAACACTAGCTCGCGGTGCGCACATTATATGTGTCTACTTACGATATTGTTTGTACTACAAGCTCGTGACCACATTTTATTCCGAGATCTACACGTGTGGATGGAAAAAAAAAAAAAAAAAAAAAAAATAGTAAAAGAAAAGGGAAACGCGAAAGGAGCAAATGGATAAAAAAACAGTGGTGTACACGCGGCACGTGTTGCACACGGTCAATATACAACCGATTCAATGTCCCGATCGGCAGTGCTGAACAATAGGAAAAATTCCAACACTAGGTATACGTCTATGTACCCACACAGTCGGAGAGTGTAGTAATTACAAGATCGACATGGGCATTATTCATTGTTATTTTTTTTCACCGATGGGTTTTAAATATAACGCTCTTATGTTATTATGTATATACCCACGGTGGACTGACGCGTGCATGCCCCGGTAAGTTTTACACGAGTCCACCTGAGCACCTGCGATGACGGTTAACATCGACCCCCGGATTTTCGAGCTCCACTATAGCGAGTCGCGCATCGATCTTATGCCTGCAGGAGTAGGTACTTATATATGAAACAGTTCTTCAGAGGAGCGAAATAACATGCCACAAAGAGAGAGCGTCCGAACGAAAAAAAAAAAAAAAAAAAAAAATCAGTCAAGGACGCGGCCGCGGGATTCATATTGTTGAAACAATGCGCGCCGTGACGCAACAGCTAGCGCACTCGCTGGTATGTATACACGGTCGCTCATATTGTACATTACCTACATGTACGTGCAGCGGAGAGAATGGGCTCTCTAACGTGTGCGAGTATAAATATATTATATTTATATCCATCGATCGCTTGACTTTATATTATGCCTTATATGTATACCTACTTCATGGGTATTTGTATTATACATGTGCGAGCTGTTACCTCTTATTTGTGTTGAGAGGCGTCTTTGACGATTTGTTGATTTCGCGGCTTGCAAAACGAGTGCTCGGCCGCCAAGAGAGCATCTCTTAATTTCCAACACCCACAGAGACCGTATGTATATATATATACTTATATAGTATGTGCAACATGCACTGACTAAGTTTTTGTAAAATATTACTTTGTGAAAGTGATGCGCCAGAGCTCCAGCTCGGTTGGTCGGACAAATAAGATACAATTAGGGAAATTGAAAATATAAATAAATAAATAAATAAATAAGCATGTAAAGCATAAAACGTGGAAAGTGCGAATAATGAATGGCAATCTGATGTTCTTTCCTTTTCCATAAGCCAACACCCACCGAGTCCATCACTTTTTTCCAAGTCCGAGAAAGAAGGGAAAAAACTTTCCTCGGCTGATGCTCGCGAATTCCGCCTTTTTTCACGGCCACGTGAGTTTGAGAGACAAGCTCACATTTATACGAATCGAGAGCATCGCGTATCGAGCCAAACGCGCGAGTGCATAGCCACTGCGGTGGCGTGACACGCTCGACAGGCCGCGAGAGAGAAAATTGGCCCTCGTATGTGTGTACAATGTGTTATAAGACCAACGTTACGATGCACCCACACGCACCGGCCGGTGCAACCAAGCCGCTTCTTCTGCGCCAGACGTCGCAATTAAGGAATCCCCCAGATTCTCGGTAGCAGCGGCAATTATAATTAGCGAATCGACGCCGGAGAGCGGCCCTCAATTCCCGCCTCGCACACACGTACATGTATATATATATATATGTGTACACAGTGATGCTGATGATGATGATGATGATCGCGGTTGCGTGCCGCAGCTGTTGCGCGCTTTTCCGATCGCCGATGCTCCTCTTTCATTTTTCTCCCGACTGGTTTCGCGTTGTGCGTGTACGTTGCACAACTTTACGAGCCAGTGGGTTTTTCGCGCTCTCGTGGAACGAAAGCGAAGTGAACGGATAATTTCATGGATTTTTCGTGCATGACTCGTGCCCACCGCGGCCCGGAGAAACTTTTCGCGCCCACGGCGTTTGGATTATGTAAATAATATACGTGTGTGCATGTTAATTATTGGAAAAGCGATGCGAAAGCGCGTTTATTCTACTCGCAGAACCGGGTGGAAAAGTAACGCGGACTGCGGTGCATATATATATATATCTTATACTCGTACAATAGACGCGATGGGTCGCGCTATATATGTACCCACCATTGCGGACAAACGCCGTCATCCGGGAATTTTTCGCGTAGCCGAGCGGCAGACGAGATTCGCCAAGTGAATTACATTGAAAACGCGGAAGAAATTAGGCGAGCGCTTTTAAGATGACGCGGCCACTGTATAGATGTTACCCCTTGCAAGATAGACGTCGGGAATGAAAATAGCCGCGATTTCGTCGAGTATGTGTATACATAGCGACGAGGAGGGCACCGCACGCGCCGAGAGAAAACGCGTAGAGACAATGATAAGCCTCGAGCAGAGCAGAAAGTATAACGATGCTATACTCCGCTGTACACTGTAGGCATACATTATCTTTTTTTTTTTTTTTTTTTTTTTTTCGCTTTCAATGCGATACAGGAGAGGGAAGAAAAATACGCTCGTTGCTGTAGGTGGTTGCGGGGAACATTAACGCGACGCTTGGATGATTTTGGGATGTGCACGGGAAATACGGCAAAAAAAGGAAGGGGCTTTGTAGTGCGCCGCAACGTGACGCAAATGCCAACAAGTCGCCGTTCCCGGTACGTCGATTCACAATGTAACCATAGCTGTCTCTTTCTGCATAAATCGCGACGCCTCCTAGGCACCGAGTGTATATAGGTATACAGATTGTACGACGCGCGGTACTTTGTTGCAGTGGCCCGGTCAACGACTCCCTATACCGTCAAAAACACGAGCTCGTTCGTTTTTGGCAATTGACCAAATTTTGCGTGCATTTGTCCACGTTGTCATCATTTTCGGGACCTCCCTCCACGTCGCAATAGCTTTCGTGCGAAAAAAAGGAGCCGCTCCCTCCGATGCATCGGCCGACAGCCCTGTTGATCCCATTTACGCGGTTTCGAGGACCGAATTGAATTTAGCCTCGTTTGCGGCAGGGCCCTTTCGGCATCCCTTGTCCGAGGAGCGCTACTTAACTGCAAGTGAAATTTCACGGGATGCAATTGACACGCGGACCTTGGTATACAAGCGTTTGGTGCAATTTTGCTAGGTATACTCACGGAAATGAAAAAAGTCACAGCCCGGCTATACGCACTAATTTGCTAGAGCTCGTATATGGGCTGTCGGACCCTCATTACGCGGCCGGGCCCCCCTGGCTCGAGGGGCCCACCTCGAAAAATCGTTTGTCGCTCGCGCTTTAATTTGCGCTCGTCCAACGCAACGTTTTCCCTACACGTGAGTGCGTACCTATATATGCATACACACATGTATACCGGCATCGGCTATCTGCGGATTAATCTCGTCCACGGTCATCGTCCTGCCCCGATCCCTGTACGTAGCGTTAACGAGAACCCGGACGGGGGAGAGACACAGAGGGGCGCGATTTGAATACAATGAAAGCAGGGCTGCAATCGGAAGCGCAAGGGAGGGCCGAAAGTGCGAGAGGTGCAAACAAAAGAGACGACTCGATGGGCCTCCGCGGCGAGGCAAGTAGGTATATACACACAAGGGCCGCGCGCCGATTGATGCGCTCGCACACGACGCACCGGCCGATGCGCGCCGGCTGCATGCGAGATGCGACCGATCTCCAGTACATATACATATACATACATATATATATATATATATAGATACTCTNATGCTGTTTGCCAAGGCCACGTTATATATTGTACACAATACATATATCATTTATTTGAGCCGAGCTGTATGATATATATATGGTGTCATACCAAAGACCGCGTCAATCCTGCGCTGAATTAATACTTGCTCCAAAGGACTATTTTTTTTTTTTTAATTTTTTTTATTTTTATACTTTTAAATGTACTAAAAAGATTCCACTATGGTGTACGATTTATCGTTTAATTTATTATTATTTTTTTCATTAAGTTAAAACTTTTTTTACAA